GAATAACAATTTATTATTTTATAATAAATAGTTAAAATTTATTTATTTTTTATCTTTTTTTCAAATTAGCTGTCGTTTCACGTCTAAAATTGTGATAAATTTAGTCATAATAGTAAAATATAAATAATTATGTTTTTTTATAAAACTTTTATGTAAAAAGATTTTATCAAAAATAATAGTTGTGTAATAATGTCAAATTTCATAATAATAATTATGTAGTTGTTTTAATTTAGTATTGACCAATCCAAGCAAAACCACCAAAACCACCCTTCTAAACAAACCACTAGTGAAATTTGTTTACAATTAAATAATTTTTTAAAAAAAATTTAAATGACTTAAAACTACTTTAACCTTATCAAGCAAAACAAGTGATCAATCCGTGCTAGCACGAGTGTCGGATCTTTGCACATTAAATTCAACACAATTAAAATATTTAATTTATAATTATAGACATATTCATTATTTATTATTTATTTTAATTTAATATTAAAATTTAATTAGTTTAAATCAAACTAATTCCTATATTTATTTTTATTTAACTCAACTATTTAAAATAATTTGTTTTAAAATATTTAAATTAATTTTATAAAATAATTGATAAAGGCAAGGGAATCTTTACTATGCAACAAGCATTGTTTTAAAAATTAGACTGTATCGATCGGTTGAATCGGTCGGATCAATACTCAGTATTATTAACGGATCATATCAATTTTTAGAATCGGTAAAGTGATTGAACCATTTAAAATTGATAAAATTGTTTGGATCAATTCAAACCATTAAACTGTTAAACCGAATGGTTTAAAACTTTTGAAAAACTTCCCCTAAATTTGCCACCCTGGGTTTGAACACAAGAAATTTTCAGTCACTTTTGACATTAGGATGTCACATCTTTGATTGAAATTATTGGGTTAAAATTTTATTTATTTTATTTTTAAGAAAAAAAAAATTGCACATACCATCCAATGGAATCGAAACTTCCTTCTCTTGTGACATTAACTTTAATGTTAAAATTAATATAATGTTTATTTAATTTTTAACTTAAATATATAAATTAAAAGTGTAATAAATATAATTTTTTATAATTAATTTATATAAAAAAATAAAAATTGATATTTATTTTTATACTATTAACATGTAAAATTATTTTAATTTATTAATTAATTAATTTAAAGTCAATTTTTATAATTTTTTAATCAATTAATTAAGAGAATAATACATATTAATCTCAACTTCTAAAAAAAATTAGAGTTCAATTTATATTTAGAAACTAAAATCTTAATTCAAAATTAAAAAATTCAATCAATTTTTAAAT